CAAGCTTCCTGCTTCTGATGTTTTTGTTTTGTTTTGTTTTGTTTTAATTGCCGTTATTTTTTTGTCTTTAGTTAGTGTCTCTTCAAATTCTTTCTTGGCTTATACTTTTACACTTGACTTGCCAGAATTTATGCTCCGTTCTATTTTCCTTACTAGGATTTGATTTTGAATTTTTAAATGATGCCTTTTTGCTTCTAAATGCCTATTTTACTCTGGTGTTTAACCATGGTGGCATTTTTTTTTTTTTTTTGGTCCTCTGACTGTTTTTTTTTATTTGGAGTATATATTTAGTTTAAACCTTTATTATGGTGTTTTTAAATAGTCTCTGTAGTTTGCAGGCATTTCACTCCTGTGACTGTTCCTTTTAATTTCCCTCATTTTTGTTTAGTTCCCCTTTTTGAAGTTACATGCTACTGTGGTGGGTTTCTTTGTCTTTTTTGCCCAACAAGGATGTTACATTTCATTACATTATGGTTTCTATTACCAAGCAGTTCAGCTATATTCCCCCGTTGCACCAGATTACTGCTTACGACTAAATCACGAATTGCTTCTTCCCCTTGTGGGATCCAGGACAAGCTGCTCCAAGAAGCAATAATTTATGGTGTCTAGAAATATTCTCTCTGCATGCCTTCCTGAGATGACATGTATCCAGTGAATATGGAGATAATTCCCCCACTACCTCCTTTGTCATTCCTATACATTTTGTACACTGATTTTTAGGGTCCCATAAATTGTCTTCTTTCCACCAAGTTCTTGTGATGCCTGCTATATCAATAGCCTCATTTAATGCCAGGCACTCCACTTCACCCATCTTAGTATTTAGACTTCCCACATTTGTGTATAAGAACTTGTACATTTTGTCAATATTCAGTTGCTTGCTTTTATATGTTATATTTAAATGTGATCTCTTATTCTTTACTGTTCCTGACTAGCTCCTACCTGTACTTTACCAACTTCTTTTCTATCCTCTTTACTTGGATGTGGAGGTCCCCCTTTAATAAATTCATCCCTAAGGGATGTCTCTACCCAAACTGTGTTCCTCTGCACCTGTCAGCTTTCCCCCAACCCTTATCTAAAAACAAAAACAAAATCCTCTAAACCTGTCTAATTTTACATGTCAGCGCTCTGGTTCCTTACATCTGGTCACCTCTACACTGATACCTCCACTACTAAATGCTACAGTGTTATCTCTTTATGGATCTAGAAATTTTTAGCAATATTCTACAACTTTATTGTACATGTGCATCACAATATTGTGACTTTAAAAGGATTCTGTCAAGTTGCCTAGACCTGAAATGTTAGTTACTTTAAAATCATTCCAATGTGATGCAGAATGCCTTCTATATTCTAAGAAAGCTGATCTCTGTGGGCAAAGAGGATGTGTTTTGAGGAATTTTATACTGTTCAGTGCTCCAGTTTACTGTTTTTAAAAATCCCAAAGACTAACCTATGCTTGCATAGAATCATAAAAACAGTGTTTTCTATTGGTTGTGCAGTAGTGGTTGCCTAACTAACAAGCACTATTTTGAAGTGTGTTCATAGCCATAGTTAAGTTATTAAGAGATTTAAGCTAATTGGACAGATACATTTTGTTTCAAATTTGAAGTGGAGTTGAAAATTAGCCTTTCTTTCTCTATGTCCACAGGAAAGGACTAAATCAGTAGAGAGAAAAAATATTTTGAGGCTTGTAAGAAGGAAAGGGAAACCAAGGAGAGTATTTAAAAAGAAAATGTACTGGATATTATAAGTAATCAACTTTGCTTTGGATGTGAGAAATCAATACCACTTCTGTAATATTAATGTTATTTAGTATTAATTTTCTATACAGTTATACAGAACTTGTAAGAATTATGAAATATGAAGCTTACATATGGTATATTAAAATTTCTAATTTCAGATTTTTGTTTGCAATACCATACCAGTCATCTCTTTTGTAATGTTTTCAAAGAATGATTTAAGAGTTTTCTAACTTCTTGTATGTTTCTTTAATGTAATTAAAAAGAACAGAGTATTAACTGTTTGAGCTTCTTTCTTGTTTCAGCTAGTGGATAAACTTAACACCAATACAGATATGGAAGAAGTGATGAGCGATTATAATATGGTAAGAGTTTGAGTATTTGCCATGGTAATATAGTATTTACAATAAAAATATATATATACATTACAACTTCAGTCATTCAAATGTCTGTGCATATGCATGATTTTGTTGACCTAAAGAGTCTATTGACTATAATGGGATTATTCGGGTGAGTAATGCTAGGCAAGTATGTAAGAGTTTGCAGGGTTGGGACGCACATGACTTCAATGGAGCTGCTTGTGTGTGTGTTGTGTTAAGCACATGTGTAAGTGTTTGGAGGACTGAGGCCTTAGTTATAGAATGAAGACAGCATAAAACTCTTTGTCTCAAAGTTTAGCAAACACTTGATAATTGTTTTCCAGAAACAGGATTGATAGTTTTTAAAAAATTAAATAGATTAAAGTTTCTGTTGTAAAAAACTCATCAAGGTATTATATGTTTTCAGTGAATTCAGTTCTTCTTTTTGCTTCCCAAGGAAGTGCGTGTCTAAAATTTAGATCTTGAGTATACCCTGAAAACACTGCATGGGGTGTTAAATGTAGTATCCTGGGATCCCATATTCATTGTGTTTAAAATACTGTGGTTTACATCCTAAAACAACATGTGTAGAGCTGCAGTTATTGAAAGACTGACTAAACCTTTTCATCCAGCTGTTTCGACCTTAATGCTGGGGTATCTGTTGGTCAGTGACACAGTTGCTCTTAGAATTATCCTCAAAGCCCATGATATTTCTCTATTTCAGGTAAGAGAGATATGTCTCCCAACCCAAGGTACCAGTATTCACATATATCACACATTATTTGGGTGGAGGGCACAGAAAACTAACCACCTGACAGGCTGACCACATGCACCAGTCTTGCTTGTAAAATTCCCCAGGCTCTTGAGTTTTTCTTCATTCTCCTCCATGCTGTGCCCTTCAAGTGACTCCAAAGCAATAGTGCATTAATGGGCCTATGGTGTGTTCAAAAGCAAATACATATCAGCTGTGCTTTCCCATGAAGTTCTTTCTTGATTTCATAAGTTCGCTGGAGGGAGTCTTCAGGCACCAAGACTGTGCCAGTGCTCACTGTGTTCATAGTCAGAAGGAACTTTTCTTTGAAAAGAGGCTTCCAGGAGCTCGAGAAGCAAGTGAAAATATTTTTACCCTAAGTGATCCAACCTGATTATTAATAAAAACACTGATGTGCAGTTTCTATGATTGCAGCTCCTATTCAAATGCAGGCTTCCAATGGGAATTAGAGTTACAGAATCCATCTCTGCCGCATCAGATAGGCCTTTGTGGTAGGAGGCGGCTGCTATTCCTTCCCATCTCCATTCTGGTCTTCCATTCCCTTCGTTCATTCAAATGCTTGTATAACCTTGGATGAATGGATACTGTTTATATTTTCATTGGTGGCAAGAATCTTTTCATGCAAAAATCTGTTACTGAGTATTGATTTTTTTTTTAACAGCTAAAAACTCAAAATGACCGGGAAGCTCAGAGTATTGATATAATTTTTACAGAGAGACAAGCGTAAGTACATCAAATATCAGAAAATTGAATTTTAGCATAAAGTAGCTTATTAAAATGGGTAAGAGTGAAGAAGTGATTTGATTGATTGGGGGATTTTTAACTCAGAAAAATATTGCCTAAGAGTTGCATGTATGCTCTACAAATGTCACTGAATAAAGTTTGTAGGAAATAAAATTTCACTCACTCAGTCAACTTTTTAAAGTACGGCATAGTCCTAAAGTACATTTAAAATATTGTTTCAATATATTTTAATAAAGAAGTTGATTTTTAATCAGCTGAACACATAATGGGTTTGTTCTGTAAGTCAATCAGAAATTATGAGGTCAATAATCCTACAGGTTATACTGTCACTACTGCATCTGTATTCATTAAATATGTCATTCAGTACAACAAAAATGAAGTTATTTAAAAGAACATTATGTAAGAATCAATGTCTCCTTTAAAAACAAACACTTTGTTCTTTGACAGCATTTTGTTTCATCAGGATTGCTTTATAGTTAGTCTGACTTCCTGACTGAAAGAAACAAATGTTACCATAGCCTTCATAACACAATTAAAATCTGTTATTCAGTGATTTCTAAATACATTAAAAATGACCACATACCTGCTAACTGTTTTATAAATACACCACGAGTTTTTGTAGTATATTTATTTTTACAGTTGGTGCCAATTCTGTCCTCAGACATGCCTAAACAAATAGCATTTATTCCAGTGGGTCTCTTTGAGGATACATTTGAGCCATTAATGTTTCAAGTTTTGTTTTTTTATACAACGTAAAGATTTTGTGACTTTAAAAGTTTAATAAAAAGTGATGAAAAATGTGGAGCATTTTGCTATTGGCTGTATTTTATGAACACTTTTGTGAAATAATACGAAATACATTTTTCTTCTAATATTAAAAACAAATGTCTATTTTCTCATTTACTATAAATTATTCCTTAAATAAAATGATGTTTTCCTATATCTCAAAATCCTGATTTTAAGAACATTTGAAAATCGTGAAGAGGTTCATCTACCTTAAGTTTAAAAATGGAAATTTCTCAATGTTTTCTTTAAATTGTTAAAAATATGTACTGCATTGGCAGTTTTCAGATATTCAGAACCTGTTAAGAAAAAAGACATCAGGCAACCGTGGGATAAGATAAAAAGGTGGTTGGTATATAATAATGGTAATTTGTCCTTGAATGCATTTAAATGATGGGGGTAAGACAGCGTATTTGTTTTGCTTACTCAAACAAATACTTTTTGTTTATGAATAAAGAAAACTGAGTTTGGCTTAGATACTCAATGCTTTTAGTTTTGCCTAGTGGATAGAGCATTGAATTGAGACTCAGGAGACCTGGGTTCAATTCCCACTTCTGCCAGTGGCATGGGCATGTTACTTCCCCACTCTGTGCCTCAGTTCCTTTGTAAAGTGTTTTGAGATCTACTGATGAAAATACTATATAAGAAGTAGGTGTTATTTTCCCCCACTATAATCAAACAGTGAGATTTTAGTGTCAGACATATGGAGTATATGCTTATGTACTTTGAAATATTTGTTACTGTGGTAATACATTCACAACGCCAGATTTCCTACCTCTACAGTTAATACATGTGCCACACATTTGTCCAAAAAAGAGGGATTGAGAGCTTTGAGTTCTGTCTGTGATACATACTAGATATATTTATATACAAGATTTTGAATGGATTGATCCTATATAATCAGCTATTGTAAAGCCAAATGATCATCCATCATATAAGAATTTTAGACCTTTTCAATTAATCCAGGGTCGTCTATATATTTGTCTTCAATAAATCCATCCTCCTCAAGTACAAATGTATGAGTTTGTTCAAATGCTACAATGGCATCGTGCTCATTGGTATTTGATATTGATGGAAAAGTGCTCAGATCAGTTGTGAACTCCTTGTCAAATATTTCTGGTTCATACTCTTCCAGACGACGGTGATTGTAGCTGATCAAGTAGAGGTACCACCGTGGGAATTTTATGGCAATAAAAATCAGTAGTGAAGTGCTTAGGACAAACACCAGAACACCCAGAAGAAAGGCCCAAGTTTTGCCAAGAGGTGGAGAACCTTTAAGAATACAAAAGAAAGTAAAATCACATTAAATTAAATATCTTAAACCAAAATAACCAGCTCCTTGCATAATACCAAAAGAGCTATGATATTAATTGCTTCATGGCCTGATAAGGGACTCATGGAAACAAAGTGATAGAGACTCTTGAGACTCTTTGTACAGCATTAATAGAATACTTATGTTTGGACAACCAAAATCTCTGCACCGAGGACAAACTTTTTACTTGCAGGTGCCTAAGTCCATATTTTAACTCTCTAGATACTTAGAATGTGCTGTGTGGTCAAGTTTAAATAAGTAACTTCCTTTCAGGACTGAAGGTCTGTTGAAATGTTCTGGGCATGTTCCATGAATCATTATTCAGATTTTAAGTGAACTTTAGATTCATCCCTGGAATAGGACAACAGAACATGTAACTGATTTTCATTTTCACACTTCAAGCTGACATGATTGCCCTCAAGAACATCTATACCCAGATAGTCACTTTTTAATTTTTTTTCATTTTGCACATCTCTCCAGATATATTTCCTTTATGATGAAAATCCCAACAGACCATAGCTGCCAAGAATCTCTGTTTGCAAATCTACCCTGTGTGTTCACAGTGCTGGCTAGTGTCCAGGGAATTATGGCAGCTGCCGCATCCTAAGGGATTTTGTGGCTGAGCTGGCCTCCTAGGTATAAAACGATCCAGAGCTTGCTGTCTCTTTCTCCCATTTCAGTCACTCATCGGTCCTACTGGTCTCTTTGTGCAGAGGAGAGATGGGCTCAGGAGCAGGAAGTGGAGTTGCTACTCTGAGTGGGAAAAGGCAGGGGAGCAGAATCATTTGGATGGAGGATGAAGTAGAGAATAAATTGTGGGTAAAAAGGGAGAGGAAGGGTATCAAGTGGAGTAATGGTGGTTCAAAATGGGACACCAATGGTGGAGAAAGTGGTGTAAGTGCTCCTTCATGTTTCCAATAGGGGTAGAGTGGGAACAGTCATGATGCCCTCTCACTGAACACACCAGAGGTCAGGCATAAGGGTATGGGTAAGTAAATCAGTAGAGCTTGTTTACATACCAAGAAGAAAACTAAAAATAGGAAGGAGCCTGTTTTCAGGGGTAGACGATTGTGGGCGGTTTAACTGGGTGGCTTGATTGTAGTTCATTTAAAATACAAACACTTGGATGGTTATTTGAACCTCAAATCTTCTCACATCATTAGTTTATAGATATTATTTTACAATATTCCATAATGGAGTTCTAATTCAGGTCAGTTTTGAGCTTCTGATAAAGTTAAACATAACAAAAATTCCACATAATGTGAACACAATATTTCTGTGCCTAGGAGCACAGCAATCCCCATATCCCTAACTTTTTAGAGGACTGTCCCATAGCACTAGTATTGGATGGTGCTATTATGAAGTATTAAAATGAAACATCAATACATCACCTGGATTTGATGCATTACTCCTAATATTGTTGTTTGAAGAGTTGAGAGAAAATGTTAAAATGGCAATGTTTTTAGGACTGATGGCAGATGTGGAAGGTGTAGTGACTGCTATAGAGCCTCTTCTTGAGTCACAATCAGATTTTTGGATAGGTGCAGTCTTGATAGAAGATTTGTTCCAGACATCTGGATAAGCACACAGAGTGTCATTTTCATGTTCTGAAAGTATGAATAATAAAAAGGTCATGAAATATTGTATTTATAGGGTCTGCGCTGCAGTGTAAGTAAGATATTGTGATATATTGTGTAATGACCTGAATGCTGCTGTTGTCAAAACTTACCCATTGTCACGTTTGAGGTATTCAACCATTTCTGTAAACTGAGCAGGCCACAGGAACAATTCCATGGATTTCCATTTAAGGTAATCAGTTTAAATGATGCTTTTACATCAAAGTACTTCAACAAATTGTCCTGTAGTCTCAAAATTGTCAGGTTTTTTAGTGTTGTAATTGTGTCAGAATCCAACTGGGATATTTTGTTATGATTTAGATTCAATATGGATAGTTGATTTAGGCCTGTAAATGCAGCCTGTTCGATTGTACTGATATAATTACTACTAATATCTAGAACTGTGAGTTTTAACAGATTGCAGAAGGTATTATTATGTAGCACAGTAATGGCATTTTCATTCAGATAGAGTTCAGTCAAGTTAATAAATAGCTGAAGAACCTTTTTGTCAGAATCATTTAAAGTAATGTTGTTATTACTAAGACACAGTTTAGTAACACTTTTATTTAGAGAGTTAGGGATAGAAGAGTAATTCTTTCCAGATTCCTCACAAGTAACCTGTTGAAGGGAGAAAGAAAAACAATGTAAACATAGAAAATTACAAATTATTTTCTAGTAGGGAGAGTTGATGGTGAAGGAGAGAGAAACAGTGACAAGCACCTACAGTGCAAAAAACCTTTGTAACCAAGCATTCCAACTCTTTGAGGTCCAAAAGGAAATCTGTCCTGGGCCAGTACTATCCCATTCCTGATTTTCTTAAAAATATACTTGTGGGATAAGGGACACGGTCACTGAGGTGGTGGAAGTCATCTTAGGCCTTGTCTACACTACAGGGAAAAGGTGATCTAAGCTATGCAATTTGAGTTATGTGAATAGCGTAACTCAAGTCGACAGAACTTAGATCTACTTACCATGGGGTCCACGCTACACGATGTCGACAGGAGATGCTCTCCCGTTGATTCCCCTTACTCTTCTCGATCTGGTGGAATACAGGAGTCAACGGGAGAGCGATCTGCAGTCGATTTAGTAGATCTTCAGTAGACCTGCTAGATCGACTACATTGATCGCCATGCATCGATCCCCCGGTAAGTGTAGACAAGCCCTTAGTGAAGCTGTTTTGGAGTGTGGAATTCCAAGAGGGGGAGGTGAAACTCCCCTCTGTGGTGGGGGTGAAGCTGGGAATTAATGACCAAGAGAAATTAGGAATGTAATATGAAGTTTTTTGCCAGGCCTGATGGGAAGGGGGCTGAGTATAAAAAGAACTGCCTTCCTACATAACTGGAAGATCTCTAAAGAAAGGTGTAGTGACTGAATGAAAGGAAGGGGGCAAGAGTTTGAGAATTAACTCATTTTTGTTTTCTCTTCATATTTTGTTCCATATGTAAAGATGTTTATTTTAATAAGATTTTCAGGCAGACCTTTTGAGAAGGAGTGAGTTCACTAAAGATTAAATCTTTATGGCAACCAAGACACTTAAATGAATTTGGTTTTCTGGGTTGAAACTAACCTACCTGCAGTCATCTCAGCTCTGAGAGCCTACTGTACTGATTTTATTCTGCATACCAATGAGTACACTGAGACCTGTTTTATTTTTACAAGATGGTGGATTTCTCTTGTGCGTGTGCATGTGTGTGAGTGTAATTTGCTCTCCTACAGGTTAGTGCAAAAGATAAATAGCAAAGTTAGTTCTAGACATGTAGGCAGTGAGTTACTTCCTTAATGTAAGCAGAGTAATCAGTGTAACAGCAGTTTAATTACCTGACTGTACATGACACCCAAATATAAATACAAGAAGGAGGAAGCAATTCAATTAAAAGTCTCTTTGGAATTCAAAATCAAACTCTATTCTCTTATTACTATGATTGTTTTCAAAAGCTGTAGGGCTGACTTTCTGAAGTGCTGAACTCCGTCAACACTCTTGGCTTGAGTGGTATTTGAGGGTGCTCAGCAGCTTGCAGTTTTTTGAGCTTGCTCCAAAACTGATTGAAGTCAGGGAAAAGACCGTTGACTTTTTGGGTTTTGGATCAAGATCTGAAAACATAAATATATCAAACATGTTTGCAATTCAATAAATTACAAAGTGCAGACTTGTCATAACGATTTGCATTGGTTTATTGTGCAATTAAAAGGAAGCCATGTTGTTTATTGCATTTCTATATGTTTCTACCGTCAGGTTGTTGAATATCAATCTTTCTATAGCTCCAGCTATAGCTATATACAGGCTTTGTATGTATACACCATAAGGTATTGAGGTGGTTGAAGATGGGACTATTGTTAAAATACATAATGTCTTTGATCTACAAGGCACCTCCTGTAATTTCTATGGATCTTCTACAAAAATGAGCAAAAATTAAGCAGATTAGTTGATATGGTTATAAAACTTACAGAAAGAGAAGTAGTATCGCAGTCAGCTGTGACTGGATCGGAGAACAGTGCTCCAATCCAGATCATTAGCCAAGGGATTTTCATGTTCAAAATCTAGAAGAGAAAATATTTTTGCATGTTAGGGCCAAAATTTAAGTAGCTATATTAGTAGTTTAAAGGCATGCTCCTAGTGAAGATTGTTTTAGTAATGTAAACAAAATTGTTGATTTATAGTTGAAACCAATTATTCATCATAACTTACTGCATTTTTGTCTTACGTAAATATTGCCGAAGGCCTAAATAAGACTGCAGCTGGGGCGAAAGATGTGTTTTAGCCAAAATAGCTGCAGCTTTTATTGAACTGAGCCAAACCTGAAAGCAACCAGGCAGCTTGTGTGCAGTCGATCAGTATTTGTGGTGACCAGCACAGTCAATGAAGCTCCTATGTTATTCTTGTCATAGGATAGCCCTCTATGCTCCGACCTATTCATCTGTGCTTTGGAGCTAGGTAACCATGGGTCAACATGCTATGTTGGGGTCTTTGAACCAGGATACACCCTATCTATTGGAAATCATGAGGGCTTTCCTTACAGAGGCTATTCATTTTAAGATTAACCTACCTCCAGAAATTGTGCAAATGACACCTGATCCATCTGCTCCTTTGAATCAGGGTTTATTGGCAAGATTTAGCCACCCATCAAGTAATAAAGTAAAAGTGAATGCAAACCATGTAAACTGTATTAAAGGATACATGCATGCAGCATCTTTGGATTTTCAAGAAAGGCAAAAATCCTGTGAGGCAAAATCATTAGAGATGGAGAAATAGGATTTGGCAGGAAAACCAGAGTTTAGAAAAAATTACTTTATGACCCCTTAAGGAAGTTGAATCTAGGCTCCTTCAGACATATGCAGTGCAGATTTAGGGACTATATTCTAAATAGGCACTAGGAGTGATCAGGTTAATTACAGACCAGTAAATCTCTACCTGGCAAACTGGTTGAAACAATAATTAAAAATAGAATAATAAAACATCTGGAAGATCATGATATAATGGGGTGTAAGCAGCATGGTTTCTGCAAAAGGAAAATGTGTCTCACTAACTATCCACAGTCTTCAAACTTGTTAGTAAACTTGTGAATAAAGGAGAATCAGATGAGATGATTTATTTAGACTTTCAAAAGGTCTTTGACATGGTCCCATACAAGAGGCTGCTAAAAAACCCTCAGTAGTCATGGGTCAGAAGCTAGCTAGGAGACAGAAAACAAAGAGCAGGATTAAATGGTCAATATCCATCATGGTTAAAGATTCACAGCAGGCCTTCCGTGTAATATATTTATAAATGGGCTGGAAAAGGGAAGTGAGCAGCAAGGTAGCAAAGTTTGCAGATGACACAGAGTTATTTAGGTTAGTCAAGACCAAAGATGACTGTATGAGTACCTTCAGAGAGACTTAACCAAGCTAGGTGAATGGGCAACACAATTATACCTGAATATTAATGTTGATAAGTATAAGGTAATGCACAGTGGAGGGGAAAAAGTTAAAAACTCAGACACCTTACAGGGTTCTTTTATGTTAACTGTATAAACCCTGAAAAAGGACCTAGACTCAACTGTAGATGGCTCAGTGAAGACCTCTGGACAATGTGCAGCTGCGGTCAAGAAAGCAAACAAAATGTTAGGATGCATAAAGAATGTGATAATAAATGTGGATAATATTATAATGCCTTGATATAAATCAGTGGTGTGGCCTTATCTGGAATGCTATGTATGGTACTGGTTACCCCCATCTAAAAAGATATTGCAGAATTAAAGGGAGTTCAGAAAGTTAAGAGGTATTGAAAAACTCATATGAAGAGAGACTGAAAACAGCTTTACCTTAGAAAATAGATGAATAAGAGGTCCCTTCCAGTCCTATGATTCTAATGTTTTCAAAGTTATTTTTAGCGCACTGGTCTGCAGTGTAGACATACCCCAAGAGACTTTCCAGCATCAAAATTTCTTCTTAAAGCTAGGTCTCAATTCTTCTCAAAACTAGTAAAAGGAAGACTTAGCCAATCTCGTACCATGATAGCAGGCCTAGCCATTGACAAACTTGGTTTGCTGGGCACATTGGCTTATAGCTCTTTATCTCAAATAATACTTATGATCTATTTTACAGGTGTGGCCTGCTGACCAAACCTAGCTAGTTGCTTGCCTGCCTCCCTCAATCTGTCCCCTCAGGAAGATTGGGATTGCTCCAGCCAGTTGTGTATCTCCACTGTTGTTGGAAATGTACATCTGCTGGATTCACTCCATATGCTCTATAGCAAGGGTTCTCAACCATTTTCTTTCTGAGACCCCCCACAACATGCTATAAAAAGTCCATGTCCCAACTATGCCACAACTGTTTTTCTGCATATAAAAGCCAGGGCCGGCGTTAGGGGGTAGCAAGCAGGGCAATTGCCTGGGAGTGCACATGACAGGGAGCCCCTACAAAGCTAAATTGCTTAGGCTTCAGCTTCAGCCCCAGGTGGCAGGGTTCGGGGCCCTGGGCTACAGTCCTGTGCAGCGGGGCTTTGGCTTTCTGCCCTAATTAGTCTTAACATTGGTCATAATTGGTGGATCCTCTAAAACCTGCTCACAGCCCTCCAGGAGGCCCTGGACATCCTGGTTGAGAACCACTGCTGTATAGAAACTTTCAGTTATCATAAGAATATAAGAACGGCATACTAGGTTAGACCAAAGGTCCATCTAGCCCAGTATCCTGTCTTCTGACAGTGGCCAATGCCAGGTGCTTCAGAGGGACTGAACAGAACAGGTAATCATCAGGTGATCCATCCCCTGTCACCCATCACTGCAGCATACCTGAGATTTGTGGGTTTCTCTCCACACCTAGGGAGGGCAGGCTATTAAAGCAGTCTTGACTCAGAATATTCTTGCAATTTAAGAAGGGGAAACAAATCTTTACAAGTTGCTAAATCAAAACCCCTCCAACGCATTATTAAGGATCTACAACCTATCCTAAAGGATGACCCAACACTCTCACAAGTCTTGGGAGACAGGCCAGTCCTTGCCTACAGACAGCCCCGCAACCTGAAGCAAATACTCACCAACAACCACATACCACACAACAGAACCACTAACCCAGGAACTTATCCTTGCAACAAAGCCCGTTGCCAATTGTGCCCACATATCTATTCAGGGGACACCATCACAGGGCCTAATAACATCAGCCACACTATCAGAGGCTCGTTCACCTGCACATCCACCAATGTGATATATGCCATCATGTGCCAGCAATGCCCCTCTGCCATGTACATTGGTCAAACTGGACAGTCTCTACGTAAAAGAATAAATGGACACAAATCAGATGTCAAGAATTATAACATTCATAAACCAGTCGGAGAACACTTCAATCTCTCTGGTCACGCAATCACAGACATGAAGGTCGCTATCTTAAAACAAAAAAACTTCAAATCCAGACTCCAGCGAGAAACTGCTGAATTGGAATTCATTTGCAAATTGGATACTATTAATTTAGGCTTAAATAGAGACTGGGAGTGGCTAAGTCATTATGCAAGGTAGCCTGTTTCCTCTTGTTTTTTCCTACCCCCCCCCCCCAGATGTTCTGGTTTAACTTGGATTTAAACCTGGAGAGTGGTCAGTTTAGATGAGCTATTACCAGCAGGAGAGTGAGTTTGTGTGTGTATGGGGGTGGGGGGATGTGAGAAAACCTTGATCTATGCAGGAAATAGCCCGACTTGATTATGTAAAGAGTTGTCACTTTGGATGGGCTAGCACCAGCAGGCGAGTGAATTTGTGTGGGGGGGTGGAGGGTGAGAAAACCTGGATTTGTGCTGGAAATGGCCCACCTGTTGATCACTTTAGATAAGCTATTACCAGCAGGACAGTGGGGTGGGAGGAGGTATTGTTTCATGATTTCTGTGTGTATATAAAGTCTGCTGCAGTTTCCACGGTAAACATCTGATGAAGTGAGCTGTGGCTCACGAAAGCTCATGCTCAAATAAATTGGTTAGTCTCTAAGGTGCCACAAGTACTCCTTTTCTTTTTTTAAATGGTGAAAATTATGCAAAGTTCAGTACATCTGAATTAAAGGGACACTGTAAACTCAAAATCAATTTTGAGCTGTTGAAAAATTTTCCTTGTGTAGTCAATCGGTCAGTTTCTGTCACAATGAAAAGACCCATATAAACATCAGCATAAGAGCAGAAAGATGTTCATAAAAATTTTTAAAGAATTATAAAAAAAAAAATCAACAAATACTATTTCAGGGGTGGCCAACCTGTGGCTCCGGAGCAACATGTGGCTCTTCAGAAGTTAATATGCGGCTCCTTGTATAGGCCCGACGCTGGAGCTACATGCGCCAACTTTCCAATGTGCCAGAGGGTGCTCACTGCTCAACTCCTGGTTCTGCCACAGGCCCTGCCCCCACCCCACCCTTTCCCACCCCTTCCCCTGAGCCCGCCATGCCCTCCCCCACCCCTCCCCAGAGCTTCCTGCTTGCCTAGAAACAGCTGATCGGGAGGTGCAGGGAGGGAGGGGGAGGCAGTGATCGGCAGGGCTGCCAGTGGGCGGGAGGTGCTGGGAGCTGGGGTGGGGGAGCTGAGGGGGGCTGCTGATGTATTTCTGTGGCAATGTACGTTGGTAAATTCTGGCTCCTTCTCTGACTCAGATTGGCCACCCCTGTACTATTTGAAGGATGATCTATTAGAAAATAGATTTTTTTTTTAAAATTAGTCATTTTGCAAAAAACTCAGGCTGGCAGTACATCATTAATATCTTGACATTCTCCTAAGATCTGAGCCCATAGGTGCTTTCTTTGAAAATGTTTCATAAATGGCATTTTTCATTTCACAGGGATGTGTTCCTTTACACTTCCTACATTTAGTTAAAAAACAATAAAATATGCATTTTTCAAGAGTAAATTGGGAAGAAATGTAGTTTATAAAATCAGAAAATCTTTCCTTTCCAAAAGACTCAGGTTGTTTTCTAATCTTCTAACAAAGCATAATGCAGTAGGTTGGCTTGTGAAGAGTTCATATTGATTGAGGAACCCAGAGCGCCTTTAATGTATGATCCATTTCCAATCGGACAGCCAAATTATACAAACCAAGTATTTTCCCACACACTTAAGATATTAAATTGGTTTCATAAAAAAATTCTATAAAATATCTTACCTTTCTATTTTTTCTGAGAGATCATATGTATAGTTGTGTGTTTCCTGTGCATTAAAAAGAAGTAATATGTTGCAACAGCACTTTACTTTGTTTGCAACCTTTGTACTCAGTGAACAGGCAGGTAGCTAAAAATAAATAAATAAAAAGACTAGAACTTCCTTAGCAAAAGATTGACTAGGTTGAGCAATTTCTCATGGTCATCTCAGGTTTATTTGGATCTACAGCCAATAAGGAAGTCTGGTAATGATATGTTTAGGCCTCATAATTTCTGATCACATAGGAGAAATCAAGTTAAAATATCGCAGGAGCTTACACAGCATGAGTTGTGGTCAATTAAAGAAACTTATAAGAAAAGAGGTTTATTGTGTAAATGGAATCTAGTAATCAGATATGTAAAATCTGTAGATCTTTACAGATGTGCACATTTTTAAATGAAAATTCATGGTTTGCAAGCCTCATATTTTTAGTTTGCTAATTTGTATATAATGGTGATGTAATTGAAGCAACTATCTCTGGTAGTAGCTTAGATCTGTCACATAATCCCTCTTTATTTAGGGGGAACATTGCATGGTATGTCAACATTCAAAAAATTACTTTATGATAGGTTTGATCCTAAAGTTGTTTTGTGTTCAAAATTCACATTGATTTCAGTGAGTTAAACTTGTGTAAGGACAGAAGAATCAAGTCCAGTGTTATACAATGTGTATCATATATATATTTCAAGCAAAAAATCTACAGTAATGGTGCACTTATTTTATCGGCTGGAATATATTTATTTTATTCTGGGGAAAGAAGTTAGTTGTATATTTTTTGTGTGAAATTAGATTGTTTCGGGGGTACAAAGCATGGAATGAGCATCTCTTTGTTTTATAAATAAAAAGGATAACTAGTATCTAGTACTAGTTACAAAAATACTCTTACTTTCCTCTGTCATTACAGCAAAGAAAAGTTAATTCAAGCAGTGGAAGAAGATATTGAGCGTGAAAAACAAATAGCTGATGACATAATAAAAAATATGTCTCAGGAAAATCAAGCTAAATACATGGAGATGAAGGCTACAAATGAAAAACTGTTGCAGGTGGGTTTTGTCATATTGTTTTCTAAGATGCATGTGAAATTAGCTCCATGATTTCCACTGTATAGTTTGGAATACTGAAGAATTTAAGATCTGATTAATTTAAAAGGAAACTTTCAGGTAGCATTATCCCCAACATTTCAACTTTGTGCTAGTGCATGAAAATCAGAAAATGAAATTGACTAGAAACAAAATAATGCTTAGCACTTTCCACCTGTAGATATCAATGTGGTTTACAAAGGATAAATTGTCCTCGTTCTCCTCCATCATTATTCTCATTTTACAGATGGGGGAAATAAAGGTGTAGAGGTTAAGGCTGTGATCCTGCGAACAGATGCTTAACTTTAAGCACATGAGTAAAATTAAGAACAACTATAAACTATGCAGGATCCAGACCTAAATGACCTGCCCAAGGTCACATTGCAAGTCAGTGACAGAGATGAGAGCAAAACCCAAGATTTCTGATTCCTTGTCCACTACAATAACTGCCTGGCATTCACATAAATGAAAATGACTGCAAAAATTAAACTTAGATTTTTAAAATTCTTTCAGTGTCAGTAACCTACAGTTTAACAAAAGAGATGAGGCTATTTTTAAAATATATATATATTTTTTTCAACGGACACTTTCCCTTCAAATTAAAAAAGGGGACACTGGTTCATAATTATAACCAAGATACAAGTAACGATGATATGAAGCTTATTCACAAAGACCCCAGTACTGCAAAGTCAGTGAAGCTCTGCCTGGAGCTGTTTGGAGGAAGGGATCTTAACCTATTCACACATATACCTAATAAAAACAACTGAACATTCTACAGCATTTGCAAGTATAAAATTTGTAAAATAGGGAAGTAAATCCTCCTCCAGTGGTAATTGTTACCTAAACTTTTCATGTTTGTTTTCTTTAGGAATTAGATGCTCAACAGCAGGAGTTGGATGGACTGAATATAAAGGAAGACACCCTAGGATCTGTATGTATGAAGATAAATAACTGATCTACTTATATTTGTAAATGCAAAAAAAGTCTTGTCAACAAAGTAATCACAATATATTTTTTTCTGTAACTCTTTAATGGCTTGATCCTGCACCCATTGAAGATAAGGGCAAAGCTCGCATCTATTTTAGTGGTGTGGACTTAGGCCATTAATTTGTATAATTTTATTTTTAGCAGATAGGGCCAAAACTCCACCAATTATGATTTATAACTTGTTTTTGCTAGATGTCAGGTAATCAGATAACTGTATTTCACAGCTAGTATATCATACATGTGAAATATAGCTTAGTGATTACATCATAGATGTAAACTATCACTTTTGAAAGTATTAAGAAAGTCACTCGCTTTATGCTACTAGAGTAATTGGTATTTTGTGTGGATCTAAACAAACGTCCGGGAGAATAGAATTCCATCAACAAGCAAGATCAGGGCTGTAACACTGTCCTTCTGTGGCCACTTTTCTAGCCTATGTGTTGGAGCAGCAGATGCAGTCCTTCCAAACCCCAACACAAGGGCTCTTTGTTTTTGTACATATGTGTATGAGCTCAAATCAGTGGTCCTCTCCACAGTCACTTATTTTGATCTAGTATCAGTGCTCCTCTGAAGGTCATCTTGCATGGTAATTTCACTCCCATTCCTGCAGAGGCAACCTAGCACTTAAGTAGCATGCAAGGGCTTGCTTGTACTCCCTAGCCTGAGCTAAATTTTTCCCATGGTGAATATATACTGTGCTGTCACTTAAGTGTGTAGTAGGCCTGTGGCTTTCCTTCATGTTTTCCGCTGCCTTGGATTTGCTCCTCAGAAAGAAAGCAGAACATATTTTGCCACTAGATACTCCAGCATTCAGGATAGCTATGCTGAAGTTTCCTTTCTAAACTCTATTTTTCAGTTACCCTTAACATTGTCAGATGTATTCTTTTGTGATGTTAGAAATCAGAGAATTACTTTTAATTGTTCTCTGAATATATACATCAGATCACTCACAAACTCTTCTCCCCAGACAGTTGAGAGGTTTGCAATTTCTCCTTATGACTCAGCCTTCTTTAATGTGTGTGTCAGCCTTCATCTCCCACTTTGAAAGAACTGGCCTAAATTCCACAGCAGGGGTTGTGCTACACACACACAAACCAATATACACACAACCACTGAAGTTGAAGATTGCCTGCATTGATCTCACAGAGGAACATGCACCCAAGAGTATAGATATGATGTAGTATATATCCTCAGAAAACAATAGTTACAATGAAGTAATTTCCTCTTCTCTTACTTTCATCGGTTAGTGGCACAGAGATTTTGACAACCCCTTCAAATATTAGATCTTTTGATGTGTGCATGTGGCTTGATATCATAGTGAAAATGTCTTGACCATGCAAGGCCTTTCTGCCACTTCCCCCATATCGGTTCCTTAATAGAGATTATCTTCTAGCAAAGAAGGAGCAGAAATGTAAATTTGTAATTTTGGTAAAATTAGCAGAAATTGGTAAATTTGGAGCTCCATTAGGGTAGACCCTCATAGCAAGACATAGCCTAATAAAGCACTCAGATAGCACTGAGATGCTCAGAAACTATGCAAGATCCTAGACAGCTAGATTATATGGGTGGTCCTTTGTACTTCACTGTACAGTTGCCAAATAAACTTGTTTTATTGAATATGTGAACTTTGCTAAATAAAAATATAAGCACTGCAACAATTTCTTACCTACTGGCAATGCATCTAACCAGTAAGTGTTTGTTTGTTTGTTCTACTCAGGAAATAGCACATTCCCAGGTAAAACAAGAGGCAGTGCAGATGTATGAAAAACTTCATGGGCTCGAGGAACATCGGGATCAAATGATTGCTGAGGACAAGAGTATGGGATCGCCACAGGAAGAAAGAGAGAGATTACTGAAACAGGCAGGAAAACAAAATGACTATTATATCTTTTATTTACAAGGCTTTTTTAATTCAGTATTTTTTAAAGAATGACAATGTTAAAATACTGGGCTGGATTCTCTGCCTTGGTTCTGGCCCTTTTTGCTCTTTGAGCAACACAAAGGGGCTGATTAAGATTATTTGGTGGGATGGAGCTCTGAGCTAATGTAAAACTGGCAGAGGCAGCTCCTGTTCTAGTCCCCTTCACACCGGTTTAGAGGGCATGTTAGGATGGAAAGGGAGCACTCGGGGGTGGGGAAATTGGGTTCATTTTATTTAATATCTTTCTAACTCACGACTAAAAAGTTTGGGAAAGATGAGCTGTCTTATTAATTACGGACCTGGTCCTGCAACCTTTTCTGATGTGAATAATTCCTACTAACATAACCAGTCTGATTAACTTAAATGAAGCTGTTTGCATGCATAAGAAGTATTCATGTGAGTAAGTGATGCAGGATTAGACTATAAAATAGAGCATTAAAGTTTAAAATATGTATTGGGGAAAGAAGAGAAGCACTGGGAGGTAGCTGAAATGATGACACCACTAAATGATAGTATTGCATCTTTTATTCAACAAAGCAACCATTGTAGAAAAACGATTTCAAAGCAGATCTTTGGCAGGCTGAGCCTTCATTCCTAACATAACTGAGTTAATCATTTGGTTTTGTACATCTTTTAGATTCTCTCTCTTTTTTGTCTTTGAATTTATTCCCTGTATTGAAACATTTGTTATTAATTTTTTATAGGTTAAAGAAGATAACCAGGAAATAGCAAGTATGGAAAGACAGTGAGTACTTATGTTATATTGCTCTTATAAGCCCCGCTCCCGCCAGTGGGTCCGCACATTGTAAGAGAAGTGTCTGAACATAGGATTAGGAGCCAAACGTTACTTTTTGTTCTCACACAAACTTCTCCTCTGTGGAGCTGAGCAAGTCATTTATCCTGTTCGTTATCCTGCTGTGAGAATTAGTTAATATTTATAAAGTAATAATGTGTTGCTTATAGCTGTTGTTGTTAATAAGAATCTACAGTAAAAATTAATTAAATTAAGTTACTAAAGCATTCTTTATATGTATTATGCTTATACTTCCTAAAGCTACTGTATTTGAGGATCTCTTGCGTTTACTTTAGAAACTCAG